TGCTAGATCAAGTACTAGATCAGATTACCTAGGGCCCCATCCAACCTGGCCTTAAGCACTTCCAGGGAGGGGCATCCACAACCTCTCTGGGCGTATACTAAAAAGAGATACTGCTCTCCAATCCTACTATGGATTGTTTCACTGTAAAGAAACTTGGCTTTGTGTCTGACAATCACTCTTGGAAGCAAAAGTTGACAGACATAAAGGAGAGGGCTGTGTGTTTCCCCATTGATATGCCATAGAACAGAAATCAGAAGCCATGGGGTGATTAACTGATTTGGTCCTTCTTATATTTTTCTTTTTTGAACAGTGTGCAAGTTCTTACTCTGGTATTGCAGATTCTTATTCAGTGGGAAGTAGATGGTGTTATTTATTTTGTTTGGTCCTCAGGTAGATTATTGTTGTTAGACAGATATAGAATACATTTTAAAATTTTTTTTTTATATTCTAAAATGATTTGTTTGCTGCCTTGGAAAATGCACTTACTGAAAAATAAGAGTGACAGAACATTTCTATTTTGTCAAGCAATATTTTACTAATCTAACTGTTTGGTTCCACATCTCAGCAAAGCCTGTGGTAAGTAATGCAAATTTGCAAACTGGAAATGGGATTTATTTCTGAATTTAAATGACTGACTCTGATAGTCCAGTCCTTCAGCCTCAACTTTTTGTTCCTGTTTTCTTGGTATTGGTACACATTGGACAAAGGAACTGATATGGTAGCCATGTGAGCAATTGCATCTTTTCCTTCCTTTTCTTCCTTACGAATACTTGCCTCAGTTTTTCCTTTTTTTTTTTTTTTGACTGATTTGCCTCTGTTGGGTTCTTCTTCTTCCAAGGTTCTTCGTCTTGCCCTGTCCTCTTTCTGGTCCTTCATCTCTGCCTCTCTGAAACAGTTCATGAGATGAAGAGTCTGAATCTCCACATGAGAAGATTATATCATTTCTGCTACCAGCTAAATGGAGCCGAAGAGAAAAAAACTTCAGTTTCTGACTTAAATGCCCTCTTATTATCTAAACCTAATGGGATGTACACTTATTAAAACTTTTCCCTTTGTTTCATTTCTCAGATGATGTTCAGTGCATGTTGAAGGTTTCCAGCAACTGATTCATTACCCCATCATACCTAAACTGAGTAGCATTCTGCATTGCTGTGTCAGTCCAGGGACCCTCGTTGTAAAATTTAGGTCTTACCAATTCCTTCAAAGCACCAGAAGCCACAGATATCTGTCTTCTACTGGTGACACAAAGACACATAACCATGGTTAGAAAATATTTCAAGGATGCATTAGTGTTTCAGCATGTGATATTTGTGTATAGGTAATATTCTAAGTGGCATCTTCATGGCTCCCCTACAATTAAAATAGTCAGTGGAAAGATACCTCCTCTTTTTTTGTTCAGCAGCACATTTGATAACTCAGCCATTTAAAACAGCATTGAAAACATTTTCTTTCATGCTTTAAACCTAGATTTGAATATATCTATTTTCTATGAACCGAGTTCAGTACAAACATGATAAAATTCTCACTAAAGGAAAGAAGCACCTGGTGTATAATGAACTTGCTTAGTAGGTGGATGGGAAGCACTGCAGAAAGTTGACTCAGCAAGAAATCTTTCTGTAGATTTTCAAGGAAAGCTTTTTTGCTCTTGCATCTTTACAAACATCTCTGGATATACTACAACAGCCCTATATGTAGACACACTTATCCTGGAATTGGTTGCTTTTTTATTCACTGAGGCAGGAGAAATGATATTTTTCCCCAGAACACAGGAATGATATGAACAGCAATACCTGCTAAAATTCATGCCTACTCTAATGCTATATATTGTATGCACACTGTAACATTTTTTTTCAAATGGAGAAATATTAGATTTATTTCCACATGCGACTCTCTTGTATCACTTGGTGTTGATGTATTACCAAGGAAAGCCCTGACTACCTATGACTGTGTTGCACATTCTGCAGGAATACATCTACTAGCCCCGATAACATGGCCATGTGATTTGCATAATAACTTTCTGCCTATCTAAATTCACATTTCTGTTACAATTGTGCGTGAGATTGCTAGTGTTTTTTCTCTGCTGTTAAACAGATGCTGCATTTCAGACTTGGTAAAATAGTTCTCTCTTTATATATTTTTTTCCTTTACAGAACTGCTTTGGGATCTTTTTAACTGAAAGATAGCATTTAAATGCAAATCACCCTTGGCCACAAAGCTCAGAATTACTTTTACATTTTATTCTTGATCTGCTTCTGTATATAGAGCATTCCTGAAAGACAGTGAAATTAGATTTACTCATATGGGCTGACCTGCTCCAGGGAAAACAAACACATGTTAGCCTTGTGCTACATGAATGTCATGATCTAATGAATGATCCTGCTGACAAGTATCTCCTTTAATTAATTACTGATGAGACAATTTCATTTCATTTATAGCTTTAGAAAACAAACAAAACAAAACATCCAGAAGCCTACATATATGTGTCACACCTTCTCAAGTTTCTTTTTTCCCTAGAGTTATTAACATAGATATACACATTTGCACCAATAATTGCTCTTTGTTTGAATCCTTTTAAGCAAGTCTCCTTTAGTAATGACTATCACAAAACATATTCTGGCAGAATATGCAAAATTCTGCAAAAGATAAGTCTGTTTATGTTACTCAGTAAAGATAAAACATTTACTCAAGAACAGAAACTCTACCTGCATGCAAATTAAATTTAGAACACTCCTTTGCAGATAGTTAAAATCTTATCAAGCCAGGAGCAATCCATGAATGTGTCTGTAGGGATGGAAAGTGGGTAAGGTCTGTGATTTGCAGACAGTGCACATGTACCCAATGCAGGAAAATTCCCTCCATGGGATTGTCAATGGTTTGTTCACCATCCACAAGAATTGGCTGCCTCTGTTATGAAATTTTGGAAAAGCAGACAGAAAAAAATATGAATAAAAATGAAACTCCAGTTAAAAGAGCTAGAGCCAAGTGCTTACTGCATCACATCTTTCATTCACTTTCATTGAGTCATGGCTAGCAAGTGTCACCTATGGTTTCAGATCCCACATATTCCTGGCACTGCCCACATGCCAGCAAGGGGTTTAGATGAATACTCTTCCGTTTGCAGGCTGATCAGCACAGGGGCAAAGCATGGATAGTGCTGGTTTACCTGACAGCTATGCTGCCATACAGATGGCTCACCAAAGTTCAGGAAAATGGTAGGGATATGGGTAGTGGGCATGGTGGTGACGGGTCAGTGGCTGGACTAGATGACCTTAGCTGTATTTTCCAACCTTAACTGTTCCATGATTCTGTGACTTCCACAGGAGACTGGAGAACTCACTGGGAGGCAGATGTTGCAGTGAAGAGCTATTTCGGTGAAGATTTAAAAGCAGTGCATGTAACTATGGCAAAGCCAAGGACTGCAGAAGGAACTGTAATTTATTCATGTGCCCCTGAAGGGGAAGAAAGCAAGCAGTAGTTGTGAGGAGGAAGCACCACAGGACAGATGTACCAGCAAATCAGATCACTTCCAGGCAAGCTGAAAATGAAGAGATAATGTAGAGAGGTAAAGTGCAAACTAGCATGTAAAAATTCACTTCATCACCTCTCATCTTGTGATAAATGTGTCGTGGCTTCCTCCATACCCACAGTGGCTCAGGGCTTTTGTTTCATAGCTAAAGATAACTCTCCTGGTAGCATGATACAAAACAATGGTGGATTGTTTGACTCCAGATTGGATATAAGGAAACAGTTATTTACAATAAGGGTAGTGAAGCACTGGCATATGTTGCCCAGAGAGGTGGTGGATGCCCATTCCTGGAGACATGCAAGATCAGGCTGGATGGGGCTCTGAGCACCCTGATCTGCTGGAGGTGTTTATTGCAGAGGGTTTGCACTAGATGGCCCTTGAGGGTCCCTTCCAAATCAAATGATTTTATGATTCTATGAAAAAGATCTCCAAAACTTCAGAAGCAGCCAATATTTTCTATCCACGCTTCCTAGATCGTGTAGCTGGCCATGGGTGAAACTGTTCCAGCAGACACTTACGTGCTGCCACTGTGTCATGCATGGCGCCTCGGCAGATGCGCTCCTCCCAGAGCCAATGTATGTAAATACTGATCTTATTGACTCTGATACCAAAGGACGCGACGTGATGCTGGAATAAAGCCACACCTGTGCCTCGCAGAAACCAGAGGGTACAAAACACCAGCAAGCTCTAGAGGCAATGCTTTCTCCACGGAACCTCGTCCAGCTGGTTGTCTCCTTAACAACGCCGACCTCAAAGGGAATGCGGGAGCCTCTCCCCACCCCACCTGAGGATGTTTGCACGCAAACCCCTGACGGCGGTGGCCGGGCTGCCTCGCTCCAGCCTCCAGGCACCAGGACTGCCCTCTCGGCGCCGCATTCGCTAGGCAGGTGGCGGGGCGGGAGACGCACCGGCAGCTCCTTGGGACCGCCCCGCAGCCCCTCAGGTGAAGCCAGGGGCGCTCTCGCCCGCGTCTCTCCCTTCCCTCCCCTCCCCTCCCGGCGAGGGGCAGCCACCGCGCAGGCGCCGCCCCGACGGCCGGAGCGAGCGGCCGAGCGGCCGCGGCAGCCGCTGGCAGAGCGGTGCGGTGCGGTGCTACGCGACACTTCGTTCCGCCGTGTTGCGCTTCGAAGCCGCGACCGGCGGCGCGAGGAGTCGAGGCTGAGGCGGCGGCAGGTTCAGCGGTCCCGGCCGCGAGGCCACCGCCACAGGTGGTGCCCTCCGGTCGCCTGCCTCA